GACGGTTGAGTGCGGCCTAAATGGTCCTTCAATTCAGCCAAAAGCGCATCGCGATCACATAATTGCCGCTCCAACTCTGATGTAGCCGTAGATCCGACCTCATAAGGCACCAACCGCGGAGGATCTCGACCATAGAGAGCCTTGAAAGGCGTCATGGCGGCCGAAACGTGGAAGCTCATATTGTACCAATATTCTGCCCACGGAAGGTGTGTAAACCACAACCGAGGGTGGCAGGAAACAAAGCAACGCAGGTAAGCCTCCAAATAGCGGTTGACAACCTCAGTTTGCCCATCCGTTTGTGGATGATACGCCGTACTCCTACATAAAGTGGTACCCTGCAACCGGAAAAGTTCCTTCCAGAAATGGCTCATAAAGAGCTTGTCACGATCGGAAATTATACTCTGTGGAAAACCATGAAGACGCACTACGTCGCGGACAAAAGAAGCAGCCACTATATTGGCCGAAAACGGATGTTTAAGGCCAATGAAGTGACCATACTTGCTAAGATGGTCAACGACAACCAAAATTGAATTGTAGCCGGCAGATTTGGGAAGACCTTCAATGAAATCCATAGAAATGTAATCCCACACACGATTTGGAATGGGCAGTGGCTGTAGCAAACCCGCCGGAGACAAGGTGGAAGACTTGTGTTGCTGGCATACGGCACAGGCAGCCACAAAAGATTCAACATCCCTTCGCATTCCCCTCCAATAGAACTCCCTGGCCAACCGCTTGTAAGTCTTGAGAACCCCCGAGTGGCCGCCAATCTTACTACTATGAAATTCCCGTAACAAGGTTGGAATAAGAGGAGATTGTGGAGGAACGACCATCCTGTACTTGTATAATAAATGCCCCTGATGTAGGGAATACCCCGTCAAAGAAGGATTTCCAGCCATCAACTCCGCCACTATTTTGCTGAGCTCGGAGTTCGATCCAACCTGCCGCTGCAACTCCTCAATATCAAGCACCATCGGAGTAGTCAAGACCATTAAAACCAGTCCCATCTGCTGCCTAGAAAGGGCATCTGCCACCTTATTCTCCGTTCCCGGCTTATATTGAATCTCAAAATCATAGGCAAGTAATTTACATAACCACCTTTGATGCTCCACACTCACCAAACGCTGTTCCAAGAGAAATTTCAAACTTTTATGATCAGTGCGCACCACAAAGCGTCTTCCCAACAAATAGGGCCGCCATTTCTGAATGGCTAACACAATGGCCATCAATTCCCGCTCATAGACCGACTTGGCACGAGCGCGGGTCGAAAGAACTTGGCTAAAATAAGCAATGGGACGCTATTGTTGCATCAAGACCGCTCCTATGCCAAACCCCGAAGCGTCAGACTCCAACACAAAGGGTTGAGAGAAATCCGGCAAAGCCAGCACGGGAATCTCAGTCATAGCCTTTTTTATGCGTTGAAAAGCATCCTCGGCCTCAGAATTCCAATTAAAAGCGTCTTTCTTAAGTTGTTGCGTCAAGGGCCACGAAATGCGTCCATACCCTTCCACAAAGCGGCGATAATAACCTGTAAGGCCCAAAAATCCCCGTAACTCCTTGAGGGATCGCGGAGTTGGCCAATCTAACATGGCTTGTATCTTGCTGGCATCCGCTGAAACTCCCTCCTTAGAGACAATATGCCCCAAGTATTCTAACAGTTCCTGTGCGAAAAGACATTTCTTTTGGTTGATATACAGTTGATTGTTTTGCAAGACCGAAAGGACCCTGTCCAAATGCCCCAAATGGTTCTCCCAAGAACGGCTGTAAATCAAGATATCATCAAAGAAGACCAACACAAAGTGACGCAAGAATGGCTTTAACACCTCATTCATCAAGGATTGAAATGTGGCCGGCGCATTTGTCAACCCGAAAAGCATAACGAGAAACTCATAGTGCCCCTCGGGGGTGTGAAAAGCAGTCTTTGGTACGTCTGCGTCACACATACGAATTTGGTGATACCCCGATTTCAAATCCAACTTGGTGAAAATAGTGGCACCACACAACTCGTCTAGCAACTCCTCGATCACCGGAATTGGAAATTTATCTGGGACCGTGGCTTTGTTTAGCGCCCGATAATCCACACAAAACCTCCAACTGCCATCCTTCTTCTTAACCAACAAGACCGGGCTAGAGAAAGGACTCGTGCTTGGTTGTATGATTCCAGCCGCCAACATCTCTTTTACTAGTTTTTCGATTTCATTTTTTTGAAAATGTGGATACCGGTAGGGTCGAACACTAATCGGCCCAGTGCCTTCCTCAAGAATTATGCGATGATCCCTCACCCTGTGTGGGGGTGACCCCGCTGGCATGTCCAAAACAGCCGCATGTTTGTGCAATAACAACCGGAGCTGCTCATTGCTTCCCTCTTCAATGTCAAGGTTTTGCTCCACCCCCAATTGGCTCATCTCCAAGTAAATTCCCTGGCCTTCATGACGAATGGTGCGCATCATGGCTTTAAGGGAGATTAACAACCTCGTAAGACTAGCATCCCCTTTCAATATTACACTTTCTCCATGCACCTTGAATCTCATGACTTGAGTCTTCCAATTGACATGCATACTACCCAAAGCCTCAAGCCATTGCATTCCTAAAATCACATCTATTCCTCCCAACTCCAGCGGCAAAAAGTTCTCGATTATAGTTAGGTTTTGCATGGTCAACACCACTTCTTTACATAATCCCTGCCCTTGTACCGACTCTCCCGTGCCCGTTTGGACACCAAAACCGGTTGTAGGAGTTATGGGCAATGATAAATCGGAAACCAATGTAAGGGAAATAAAATTATGCGTAGCGCCGGAATCGATTAAAACAATTACCTCACGGTGACCAATCTCCCCCTTTATCTTCATGGTCTTTGGTGTGGTCAGCCTTACTACGGAATTCAATGACAACTCAATCACCTCAGTCCGTAGCAACTCTTCCGGCTCCCCCTTTGTCTCTTCCAACTCAATTTCCTGGTTTTCCTAGTCATCCTCATCGCTAACTAACATAATTCGCAACTCTTTTTTTTTTTTACAACGATGCCCAACCGAAAACTTTTCGTCACAACGAAAGCAAAGCCCCCTATTCCTCTTCTCTTGCCACTCCGAATCGGACAATTTCCGAAACGGAAAATCCTTTCTCGGCCTCTCAACGTTAGGGTTGCCTTGGGGCTGATTCGGATTGCTTTGGGGCTGGTTTGCCGTGGCTCCCACACATGGATTGGTTGTGAACCCCGCCGCTGGGGGACGCTAAACCCGAGGCCCTCCCATCTCCCTTCGCAGCAACAGATTTTTCTCTTCAATCCTCTGCGCCATGTCCATGATTTCAGAGAGCCCCTCTGGCTTAAGTAAACGCAATTCAGCCCGGATGTCAGCCCTCAATCCATTCACAAAAATGCCTTCAAGAATTTCCTCCGGTACCTCTTGTAAAGGGGCAACCGATACCTCGAAATTCCGTCGATACTCGGCCACCATTCCCGTTTGCTTAAGCGCTAAAAAACGCTCACACAAATTCCCTTCCTGTGACGAACGGAAACGTTGTAAAAGAGCCACCTTGAAGTCGATCCAAGTGATGAAAGGTCGCCGTTGATTCTGCCATTGGAACCACGATAATGCATCTCCTTCCAAAGCAATTCCCGCCGTAATTAACTTCTCTTTCTCAGAAAACCTGTTGATGGAGAAATATTGGTTCATCCTAAACAACCAGCCATCCGGATCTATCCCACTGAATAGTGGACAATCCAACTGTTTCTGCCGAACCGGTGAAAATTCCTCACCTCCTCACAGCTCCCCATAGTTACCCAGAAAATCCAGAGAGTCACCAGCCTCGTTTTCTTCCCAACGTGGCCTACTGTCTCTGCCACCATTTCCGAATCGGCCTCCCTCATATCGACCATCCATCCTCAGCCTAGGTCCTCCATTTCCCGTGCGATTTCCTCCTCCCCCTTCACCATCTCGGCCTTCGCGCCAGTCCCGAGCATCCTCGGTAATTCCTCCGACTCGGTAATCGCCGCGCCGCCCTTCACGGAGACTTCGTTCTCCGTCGCCAGTCTCGCCATCCCTAGGGCGGCCATTACGGCCGTCGCGGTTGAAATCGGGACGGATTCCGTTCGCATCCCGAGCCCTAACACACGCGATTTCTCCGTCCTCCTCCGTTCGACCCGTGATTTCGCGGTTTGCACCTTGGGCCAACCCAACTTCATCTTCCCAAACCCTCGCAGCTCCCGACCGTGAACCCTCCCCTCCGCCAGCGGAATCGCCGTCGCCACCGCGGTTAGCAGATGCGTCTGCTCCTCCACCAGTCGGCGCAGATCCGACACATTCTAGTTCACTTCCGCCACATTATGGTTGATTTCGGCCCTTACCTCACCAATTTCCTTTTCCACCGAAGCCCTAACTTGCTGGATCTCCTTCTCCATCGCGTCGAACTTCTCCTCGGTTTTCCTGGCCGCCATTATCACCCAGGAAAAAATTTTTGCTCTGATACCAAATGATAGGGTCTTTGATGTTTGGAACAAGATCTATAGAAGAGCGAATTGAAGAATCGAAAGAATCAAAGAAAGAATCAATGTAAGGATTTTATTAATCAACAAATGCTATACACTGGTACACAGATCTTCGAGGGTTTGCTTCCTCCCCTTACTTGGAATGGTTCCAAGACTTGTCTAATTCCCTGATTATTTTCCCGATCACCCCTTTCTATTCCTCACCCCTCCCCTTTTATACATTCCTCCTACATTCCCCCCTCTCCAGCTTTCTAAGTAAGTAAACTACTAATACTACAAGTTCCCACTATAAGCTAAAAACAACTTCATCCCGATCAAACCCCGCCCCTTCCTAAGCCTTTATTCCTCCTAATGTACACTTGCCTGAGTAAGGGCTTATCACAATCCTCGTGGGACGATATTCTTATTCACTATTATATTACTTGATTGCAATAGCGTATACTTGCGTTACGATTTTTCACAACAAGAAACACAGCAGCAATCTATTCTTACATATGCCATCAGCAAAGGTACTTACAAAAATTGTTTAAGACAAGCTTCTTTAATAGTTCTGGATTCATCATGTTTTCTGCTGAAATCAGATGATTAAGCCATGCCAAGACATAAGGAGGGCGGGATGAAAGAGGATAAGCAGCAGCCAACATTGCCCCTAAAGGAACAACAGGGACACTGAGAGCCTGCGCAGGATCAGCCTGCATGACAAGTTCTTGGATATTAGTTTCACTGCATAGCCAACCAGCACTACGATTAAGCAGTTAGTCAACATTGAGTTCACGATGCGAGCAAATTAACCCACTTACAAGGGGCAAGAGTAGCTTGAGCATTGATTTCGAAGATGTGTAGTCAAGAGATGATGCCAGAGTAACAACAGCTGCCAATCTGGGATCCCTGCCTTCAAAACCTGAGAATGTAAAATAAATAGATGCATCCGTTGCATATGTTATCCCAAGAAAAGTAAATAACATTTTCTGCACAGTAAGAACCAAACTTGAAACACTGCATGGAGAGCTGCCATTTGCGCTATACCATCAATCAATAATTTCAAAAATCCATCAGCGCACAGCAAAAATTTAACATACAAGGATAGATGGTCTCATCTTTTGCTCATTCCCTTAAAAACCATGGTTGGCTATCCTTTTTGGTCTTTGGGTCCTCTTTTTTTCCTTATCTAACATCTTGATTAACATAAAAAATGAAAACTAAAAACTAACCCACAGGACCAAGATACTATAAGGTAGACCCGTCGGAAGAGTCATTCCATCACTGAGGAAAGCAAAAAGAACCAATACAAGGTAAGGAACCTTACCACATCGTGATAACAATGCACAGAGTAAGATGCCGCCCATAGAGTGTCCAATTGCAAGCAATTTACCATCCTTTGGGTTACTTTCAGCCCTTATATATTCGATCTGTATCGATAACACGAAAAGTTATTCATTAACCATCAATAATAGCAGAAAAAATACTTAAAACACTAAGTAGAGAAAAGATACTAGGAATGTTCTATGAGATAATAATACAGACCAAATCTCAAAATCAGTAATGAAATGATAGCTCCCAGAAAGTTAAAATGTCACCTCACCACAGCAGGAACGTCCTGTTCAAGGTAATTGTCGAAGTCCCAGTCATACTTCACTATCAAGTCAAGTTGTTTCTGAAAATCTTCCAGAGTTGAAGAAAAACGCTCTTGCAAATCAAATAGTGGAGGTGAGACAGATCGCTGACCCTCTTCAATGATATTTACAAGCCTTTGACTCAGTTCATTGATTTGGCCAGCAATACCAGAGTTTTGCCTTGCTTCCAGCAAGTTTAAAATTTTTTCCCTTACCTCATTAAATCGCTCAGATAGTTGAGAATCTACCAAAAGTTTTGAAATTTGATCAAAGAACTTAGCAGACATGATCTTGGATTGCCCATCACTAAGAAAGCCAGAGAGTCTTTCTGACAAACGCATAAAAGTCTCTGTCACCCTATTAACCAGTTTTGATTCATCCCATACTGTCGCCAAAGTTTTTATGTCTTCTTCAGAAATCAAAATATCAGTGTCTTCTCCTTCGACAGTATAATTCTCAGAAGCCCAACCATTGAAAACATTATTTGACTGATGTTTCGAAGAGAAAGCTCCCTTAGTCACAGTCTCCGAAACAGCTTCCATCTGCTCAGATTTTGCATAAGCAGACTGCTTAATTTCTTTGGTAAAAGCTCTCTTAGTTGCAGTCTCCGAAACAGCCTCCATCTGCTCAGATTTTGCATGGGTGGACTGCTTGATTTCTTTGGTGTTTGATCCATGTACACTCAAGCCAGCACCTCGAACTTCCAGTATCCATGTGTCAAATCCTTGTCCAGACATGTAACGTGCAAATGAACACTGCAGAGATGCCACAAGCATTAATAGGATACACAACATACATTAGATTTGCTCGTCAAGATATCAAATGTAAAGATTATGACTCAGTTTCTCTGAATTTGCATAGCTTTTGGTGATTCGGATGTCGTTTTCGTATTCAACAGCACATTATGGAATATTAGGGATTAAACCATATCTAAAAACTTTCTTAAGGTGGAAGAAGCAGAAAAAACACAAATTAAATTATTAAACACCCTTGGAACTGATTTATACACAAAGAAGTTGTCATTTGTCAATATGACTCTTCATATGTATGACACAGCTATGCAAACATATTCCGTACAGAAGGAAAAACAGGATCCAACCATCTTTTTCTTTTTTCTGTCAGGCTCAATCATAGGCAGGACATAACTCATACATAGAGTACATACAAGTTTGAACTTTGTAGTTTGTACTACTCATTGTGTCAATAGACTATATTTTAATGCTTAATCATGTTGAATGTTTGTCCCCATCCTCTGTTACACCAATTTGGATAACTTACTTTTAGTGATCTATTAATACAGTATACAGTAAGAATACATGTTATGGAGCAGCGTACTCTATAAGATTGACAAAAGCCTTGGTATGATTTCAGAAAATAAAATGGACTAAAAAGTTTATCGTACGATGTCATATTTGAAGAGGGTTGACGCTTCGAGTTTACATGATCAAACATTATGAAAAATCCCAAAAGCTCTACACTCTTAAAACTAAATTTTGCATCAGTGGGTCAACTAGAAAAGGACACTTCTTGCCTAATTCAAACACCCAATAAAAACCATTTAAGTTCCTTCTAGAAACTGCTCTTACCTTGTTTGAACATAGCTATCATGTTGCTTGTGTTGCTGCCAATTAGAAACGAACAACTTTTCACCAACAAGTATGACTTGCACTAATTAACGAAACAGGGAAATTGGATTTGCTTTGTATAACCATTAACAGTTGTTCTACTCTCTCTTTCCTAAGAGTTCTACTCATTTCTTGTAAATGCAAGGCATTTTCAAACTCATGGCTGTTATGACGTTTATAATTTTGCACCCAAACATAGATAAATAAACCAAGCATTAAAATGGAAAAAACAAAAACCAAAAAACAAAGCATATTTTTCTCCATAACTGAATGAAATTCCATTTTTCACATTCAACAAATGAATATTTTTGTAGTGCAACAAAATCAAGAAAATCACAGTACAATCAATTAAGCTTGTGAGAATAATTCACCTCTGGAGAAAGATCATATCCAATGGCATTAGTCCCAACTCCGGACAACAGCAACAGCGGGTGATTCCTCTGTGGCGCCTGTACATCCATTTGCATTTTCCAATCAAAATCAGATCACCAAATTTCACATTAAAAGGAAAAAAAAAAAAAAAAAAAAAAAAAAAAAAAAAAAAAAAATTAATTAGCCAAAAATTCGAAAATCGAAGCACGAATCGATTACCTTGGGCGGAGGGTGGTAGCGCCAGAGAGCGAGCTTCCAATCGGAGTTGGGGACGGAGACGTAATGGAGCTCGTCGGCGGTGCAAACCGACGGCTTCTCCGGAATCTTGACGGCGTCGGTGGAGAAAGCTCTCAGCCTAAACGACGGCGACAGAACACGGCGCACCGCGGCGGCGCGTGAAAACATGGAGTTTGTGCTCAGAGACCGAATGGCGGACGACGAAGACGCGAGAAGAAATACACAGCGAACGTCGGATTGGATTGTCGGCATCTTTGTCGGCGAAAATTGGATAAATAACGATTTCCTCTCTCTCTCTCTCTCTCTCTCTCTTCTTTTTTTTCTCTCTCTAGAAACTCGAGGAAGCGGTGGTATACGATCGTTTGTGTACTGTATTATTACGGCCTGATTTGTTTGTGTTCGAATGATTTTTTATTTTTATATTTATGTGCCAGAATTGGAAAGAAATGGATGTGCTTGGATTCTGGGGTGGGTCTGGTGTCTACACTTTTTGCTTTTGGTTGAATTGAAAAATTGAACAATTTAGAGCTAAGCTTTGTTGGACTTTGCTTCCCTTTGCTTTGGTATTTACGTGGATTCTCGACAGCTAAGTCCCGTATGCCCAAAAAATTCCGGATCCTTCTGTGGGTTGGATTGGTTTCCTTCTGGGTTTTTGCATTTTGTTTTGTTTTTATTGCTAAAATTCTATTATCGTCCTTTAATTTGTAACTTTTGTAATTTGTAATTTATAAAAAAAAAAAAAAAAACGTTTTGTAATTTGTATCTCTATCAAAAAAAAAAAAAAGTTTTGACTTTGTTATTACTCAAGTCCTATTATAATAATATTTTTTTCATATAAATTTAAATTTAATTTTTTTATTATAATATTTTTTCTCATATATACAACTTAAATTCTTAATTTGAATTGTGAAATAAATGATACCCTAGTATTGTACTGTAAAAATAATCGTACATATGTGTTGGTACCTATTATGAAGTCTATATTTATCATTTCAGTATCAAATCGACCAAGCATTGAGCAAAATTTAGGGAAACCACTCGGGGCATGTTTGGTTGGAAGGAATGGAATGAAAAGGAATCACAATTCTGATAATTCCATTGTTTGGTTGGTTTATTTTGGCACGGAATTGCTTTTCGTGGGAAAGCTGATTCACTCAATTTGAGTGAATCTTCATTCAGGCGGGGGGTGGCTTGAATGGCCTTTCCATTCCGCCAATTTATTTTTTTCACCCAATTTGGCCCTCGTCTCCCCTCGTCCCCGATCAAAAGAAAAGGAGCCCTAGCCGCATCTCCTCTCGCCGCATCTCCCCTCGACCACGACTCCAACTGAGGCCAGCGCAGACACTTGACGGACGGAAAGTCGATCGACTGTTGACGCCGACGATGAGAAACGACCGCAGGTACAATCTTCCCTTTTCTTCCTTCGTGGTTCTTGGAGATCTTTGTTCTGGGTTTGTTTTGATTTTTTGAAAGAAATCCCAAATCCCACTGCATAAAGGATGGGAACTGAAAATAGGGAGGAAAACTTGGAAAATAAATGTGCTTTGAAACATGTTTCTGCCTTTTACATATTTACTTAGCAAACCATAATCCCCAAAACTCCAAGGTCCTCATCACTCAAAATTTTGTAATGAGGTGTGATACATGTTATTTGTGATGGCTTTCCACTCGGAAAACAGCAATGTGATTTTGTTATTGTCTTTTTGGGTTGAATTTGGATTGATTATTTTGCAGAATATCAGTTTTGTGTATTTTTGAATATTGGTTTTGCAGAAAGGTGGTTAGGCTTTTCATCAAGAGAAAAAATACTTGCCTCTCGATCTCCATCCCAAGAGGCCATCCGCAGAAGGCTTACGAAGCTCCAGGTAGTCTTTCTTTCCTTGCTTTTATATATTCACGCTTTCTCTTTTGTTTTTATATGCATACTTTTTTCCATATTGTTAGTTGGTGCTACAATGTGATAATTGGTGCTACAATTTAGAAGCCTCTCGCATATGGATGTCGACTTCATACCTTGTTGATGGCATTTCCATAGGAATTGTTATAGCAATGTATTGTTCACTTCATTGCTATTATTAAATTAAACTCATGAGCGTGCATTTAAATGGCTCGCTTTGGTTGTTTTATTGTAGGATAATGGCTCGCTTAGGATTAGTCAAAAGTGAAAGTCTGAGAAAGAGGAAGATAGTGGCTTTGCTTTTACATTGGTTGAATATTATGCATGTAGTGCAATGGTTCTTTGAATTGATGGAAATAGTGGTGATGGAGGATATAGAACCAATACAACTACAGAGACAACTTTATGTGCTCGACGTGTTTGTTCATAGGCAATATGTTTATCAACTAGCTTACGCAAGTGATGTCATATGCAGAGATCAATTAAGGATGAATAGAAATGCCTTCACTAATTTGTGCACATTGCTAGAAACTAGGGGTGGGTTGAAAGCGTCTAAGTATTTGCAAGTAGATGAGCAAGTGGCTACGTTTTTACATACCATTGCTCACCATGAGAAAAATAGAGTTATAAATTTCCATTTTATGAGATCTGGACAAACGGTTAGTAAGTACTTTCACAATGTATTGCATTTAATCATTCGACTTCATGGAGTGTTATTCGTTAGACCTGAGCCAGTTGCAGATAACTCAACTGATGATAGGTGGAAATAGTTTAAGGTGCGTACCTATTTCTGTGTTATGTTTAAAATGGGTAGCACCCATGGTGTAATTAGTAATTATATCTTTTATATATTATAGAATTGCCTAGGTGCACTAGATGGAACCTATATTAGGGTGAGAGTGCCTATGACAGAGAGACCTAAATACCGTAATCGACATGGAGCTGTTGCAACAAATGTCTTAGGAGTATGCACACGAGATATGGAATTTATATATGTGTTGCCTGGATGGGAAGGATCTGTAGCTGATGGTGGAGTATTACGCGATGCTCTACGTAGGGCAAATGGTTTACGTGTTCCAAACGGTAAGTATGTTTGTTACTAGTAAAGTAGTTTACTCGTTCTTTGTTACATCATTCGTTGTTACATTTACAAAATGTTAAATCTATGTTTATCAATTCTTTTAACAGGATGTTACTATCTTGTTGATGCTGGATACACCAATTGTAAAGGTTTCCTAGCTCCATTTTGTGGCCAACGGTACCATCTAAAGGAATGGGAAGATGGAACACAACCTAGGAATGCACAAGAGTATTATAATATGAAACATTCACATGCTAGGAATGTGATTGAGAGATGTTTTGGTGTACTTAAGAGTCGTTGGGCAATTCTTCGTAGTCCATCGTTCTTTCCTATTAAAACTCAAAATCGCATTATCTTAGCATGTTGTTTGTTACATAATTTTATTAGACGCGAAATGCCTAACGACGTTCCAGATCTAATTCCAGAAGATGAGTGTGAGAATGTTGAAGAAGATGAAGAACAAGAAGATAATGATGATTTGATAATGGTTGTTGAGCTTTCAGAGGAGTGGACTGGGTGGAGGAATACTGTAGCCCAAGATATGTTTAATGACTGGAGGAACCGTAGGAATGCATGACAATTGTCTATGTGTTTTTCCCTTGGAAGTTGTAATGGAACATGTATTGTTTGCTTGTATTAGAACAAACTAATGTTGTTTGCATGTTTTATCCAGCACATTCGAATAATATGCATCGCTTTGAATTGCTTTTTATCTATAATATTTGCAACATACTATTTATATATCATAGAGGATGTTGATGTAATATTGTATACGTGTTTGTTCTTTGTTATAATTAAGATGAACACTTCCAAATCCAGAGGTCCAGGTCAAAATAAATGGTTTTGGAATGAAGATGAGGATAAATTTTTAATTGAAGCTTTAATGGAGTTACATAATGAGGGAACGTATAAAGCAGAAGGTAACTTCAAGGCGGGACATCTGCATGCGCTTGAGGAAAAGTTACATAGTAGGTTGCCGGGATGCGACTTACTAGCTAGGCTACACATAGAGGCTAGAATGAAAACTTTGAAGACTAATTTTCAAATAGTGCATGAAAGGCTAACTGGGCCTAATTATAGTGGTTTCGGATGGGATCGGGATAGAAAAACGGTTACGACGGAGAAGCCGGTATGGGAAGCATATCTTAAGGTACTTTTTTTTTAAATTTAGTTCTTTTAAGATATGATAATTTTATGGTGAAGGACATTACATGCATGCACGTCACAATTTTATGGTTAAGGACATTGTTATGTTGTTATGCACGTCCAATATTATTAACTTGCATACCATGTCAACATATAATTTAAATGGTCTTGGGGCATGAACGAACTTCGAAGCAGGTATGGACAGGATTATGCTAATGTTTAATTGTATTAAAATTTAGAGTCACAAGGAAGCGTTACCGTTTAAGACCAAGGCTTTTCCCTACTATGAGGACTTGTGTATGGCTTTCGGCAAAGATTGTGCAACAGGTATGGGTGCCGAGGCTACTGCTGATGTAATTAAGGAACTTGAAAAAGAATCAGCTGACGATATTAATATTGACGAGGATTTTGTCAATGACATTCACAATACTACCTTTGTGGATGAAGCGCAACCAATGTCTTTCTCACAAGCATCGGCTATTCTTCTAACTCAAGCTCAATCTCAAAGGTCGTCAAAAAGAAAAAGGAAGACTACAAAGGACTCGAAGGCTTATGAAGCCATTGAAAGATCATCTGCTTTACTTGCTGGTGTTATTGAAAAGGCAAGTGAACGTTTAAGTCGGGCTATCGGTGAAGACATGACCGAAAAACATAGCCGGATTAGGGATGAGCTACAAAGGACAACAATCATTACCGCACTTGAACGACATAAGGTAGCTTGGATGATGATAAAAGATGATGCTTTAGTTTCTTACTTTTTTAGTATCCCTGATGATGAAAAAGAGGAGTGGGCTAGAGCTTTGCTTGCCGATGATATTTAGGAGCCTCCGATTCTTTTGGTATTGTAAGTAATTAGGATTATGATGCACTTTATTAAATTGTATTAATTAGGAACTTGCTTCACTTAGCATATGACTATATTTTGGAATTATATATGTAGTTGGCGTATGGAGATTCATAACTTGGGCAAAATCTGAATTTAATTATTTATCTGAATTTGTTGCACCAAATTTCGATTTTGTGTAGTCCAAAAGGAGAGAAATTTGATAATTGAATTCTCAATTTTATTGTTCCAACGTTATTGTATACAATCAATTGTATATATGTAGTTCAATTGATTATATATATATATATAATCGTGGATGTTGCAGGCATAAGTGTGGCAAGTTCAAAACATGTTTTTTATGCTTTACTTGCCACGGTAGGATGTTGCAGGCATAAGTGTTGCAGGCATTAATTATTAAGAAACTATAGTGTGAAAATATTGCATAAAAATTGTATTGACAGGGGTTAAAATTATATTTTTTACAGAACATATAATGGTAGATGTCAAAAGTTATCATATTTAAGCTTGTGATAATTTATTATTACATAAAAATATCAAATATTATTTTTTTTACAATTAAAATATAGTTTTTAAATTATTATCTTTCAAATAAAAAGTTTTTTTCAATAATTAAATTATG